GATGTAAAAATTAAGAAGGAAAGTAATTCTTTGTTTGATTAATGTCTTCCTTTTTTTTTTTTTGGTTTAGAAACATTTTAAATACCTGATGTGACATTGTTGTTATCTTTGTTTTTGTCAGGGTTTCACTGAAAGTGCAGCAAACTATTCTGCTTTCCACGGTTTTTACACACTTATCAGTATTTGTGACTTGAATGTGTGACGTTAAAAACGTTCTCGCATGTGTTTTCATAGTTTCTTACCTTTGCTCTGCTTATATTKTTGCTGTTGTTTGTTTTGCTCTCAAGGAGTCTGAGGGAGGCCTGTATGTGTGCATGAACACATTCCTGGGCTTCGGACGTGAGCACGTGGAGAGACATTATCGCAAAACAGGACAGAGCGTTTACATGCACCTCAAACGGCACGTCAAAGAGGTAGGGGTTTGCAGCTGCTCCCGAGTGTTTACCGTAGGGCTGGGTATTGTTAAAAATCTCCCCATTTAATTTGATTTAAATAGTTTGGGTCACAGTCGGATTCAATTTTGATTCAATAAATGCTTCAATATTAGTTACTTCATAAGGAGGACACCAATAATTCATTAGAATTACTGTGGATAATTTTTTGTTATTTATTTTCTTGCATGGTATACATGAACATTTTTGAGAAATAATATATCTGAAATTAAAGTAGTCCTGGGAAGTGGTAATTTCCTTGTTCCCATTGGTAGATTTAAACTGGAACGCCCCCTCCAGTGGTAATATTCCACTCGTAAAGTGGAAGAAATGAAACTGCCCCCAGTTTTGATTTTAAGATGGCGGCTACTCGCAGGTTTAGAAAGTTAACTCCCTAACTTCAAATTCAAAAATACTTTATTGATCCCAGAGGGAAATTAGGTAACACTTTAACTTTTTTTTTACTTTTACTGTTAATTATCTTTCTTAATGTTTTGTGCATGTTTAATCACTTGCACAAGTAGTGTATTTTCTGCGCAATACCATACGTGTTAAAATCAATGTTTATTTGCATGACGTACGTAGTACAGCTCTCTTTTTGTCATTGTTTACATTGTAGCAGTGTTGTAGCTAGGTTAGCGACAACAATACGATCACCTGTCGGCTAACTGGAATGCAGTCTCATATGGTTTGTTGGGAAATGACGTCACTACCATTTACCAGCTCCCAAAATACAATGTAAATGGAACGCAGCAGACCTTGTACTAAATATGGAGTGCAAACACAAAAACATGACAAACTGGGCGGCCAGGGGACCTAACAGAATCAGAGGATTTTCTTCGATATTGAGTTGAAGAAACATATTGCAATGCATTGATGAATTAATATTTTTACTAGTTTATTGTATGTAACAAATGTAGTTTGAATTAAATTAGCAGCCGTGGGCGTAACCGCCATAGGTACAGGGTGGGACATGTCCCCCCCCACTTCCCATATCTGTGCCCTGTAGTAACTTAAACGGGCATTTAGTGGAAAAAATATGAAACACTGGCCCACTCACTGGCTCTAATTGCCACTAGGTTGGCTCCGCTTTGAAAAGAGTTGCTATTTCAATGCCCAGATCTGGTCAGAAACAACTGCTCACATTCTGCAGGCCCCTGCCTCTGCTTTTTTTCTTTTTAATCTCCCCCGAGCCCATTTGGTCTCGAGTGCGTCAGCATTCTCGCTCCTTCAACTCTGTTTGGCCCCAAACCACTGGTGGCACTGTGAATTTTGTCAAGTCATATTTTATGGAAATTTCCAGACCCCCCCCCCCCCCACACACACACACACACACACACACACACCATCCAAAGCTCAAATGTGTGAGTACGTTGGATCGTTTTCTTTAAATATTACATTTCTATCACTCTCGGCAGGATGTAGTGCAAATATAGACAATGATTCACATTGCAGGCAAAGACAAGTCCAAACATGATGTTAAATGTACTGTAAATAGTAAATGTGTGCGTCTGAAGCAGTTCAGTTGATCAGCATTTAATTTTGATCCTGACACTGTAGGAGGGAGTTTCCCTTGCCTGTAACTGGACCTGGTAGCTGGTTTATCCACCAACCATATCAAAAAACAAAAAACAAAAACTAACATCTTGATTAAACCCAACAGAAAATTCAAGATGTTTTTTTCAGTAAAGAGAACTATTGAATGCAGTAGATTTTGTATTTTTTAGCATAAATGTCTTTGAATCAGCGTTTTTAATCCTTCCTGTTTCTTGCAGAAAGCCACAGGCGCAGCAGGAGGTGCTATCCCCAGAAGAAAAAATGGAAAAGTGTTCCTAGGTAGGAACTCCTGCTGCATTTACATCCTATATCAATATTCACTGTGGGAAAAAATAAATAAATAAAACTTTGCATGAGTAAAGCTACTTAAGTTAAACTAGCAATGCTGTGTGCCGTGACGACTGAGCAATAACTGACATGATTGAGTCGCCATTCAGTTTTATGGCTTATTATTTTTTTAACAAGTATAAAATATTGAAGCTCCATGTTAACTTATCACCATCTCAGGATTACAGTGTGAAACTGAAACTGAGTTAGTTGTTCAGGTGAACATTTGGTCATATTAATATCAGTTATTGTTCTCATTTGAGATTTCATTTATTTATTTATTTATTTATTTGGTTATTTTAAATTTATTCATTTCATTATAAAGCAAAAACGTTAGACACAACGTAAGAAAAATAAATAAAATGATCCATTATTTTTCAAGTAAAATGGTAAATCAGCTAATTTGCACGATGACAAAAGCTCTGTAAATATGTAAATAGTGTATGTTGGAATTAGGGAAACAATGCAGAAATTTGAAAATGATGGATTTAACATTAAATTACCAAAACTGTAAATAAATAAAAGCCGCTTTAAAAAGAACTTCTTTATTTTGTGTGCAACTATGTAAGGAAATCAGCCTTTTAGTTTCTTGCTGGGTAAAATTACAACATGACAAAGGTGGATTTCCAAACGTGTTTTTTTAGTTAATTTTTTTCTGAATTAAATAAAAAATGTAAAACTTCTGATGAGAACTTATTAGCTAAAATAAAACAAAAAATTCAGACTTTGCTGGTAGTGACTTCAGATGTCCACATATTTTCTCTTAAACACAGAAAAGATAAAAAAATAAACACACAATCCATCCATTTTAGGGATGTACGAATATGAATTTCAGTCGATATCGATATCTAATATTAATATTGCTGTTATGGCCGATAACCTATTTTTACAGATATTGCACAAACAAATATGCACAAACACGTCTTTTTTCAATACCATAAAAAATTACCAGGCTGCTGACATGACTCTACATCAGTTATTCCTGGCTGCACATMGTCACTATCACGATCAAGCAGATAACACTCAATCAACCATTTCCCCTCCAGAAACACAAACGGAAACAAGTGGGAAATCAGTATCAGATGTTAATATCAGGTTTACTTAATGGACCGATATGCTTAAAAAATGACCAACATTGGCCGATTCTGATGTTAATGCCGATAACGCGTCCCTACTAAAAATGTATTTTTCACAGAATTTCCTTAAAACTCAGCAGATAYGTTATCATCATTTAAAGCGAGATTTATTTTAGTGCCTCATTTAAAATGTTTGAACTGCTTCAGTTTGGTTGTTTGTGGACGTGACTACAGCGAACATTTTCTGTGATTGTGAGTCTTTTTGAATCCAGCTCAGAGTGGAGGTTGTGGGAAACACCTGGCGGAAATGTGAAATGGTGCCAGATTTAAAAGGTGTCCACTCCATTTACCCTGAGCATACTAATGATACTCTCCCACTCATMCTATTATCTGTGGGAGAAGGCCTCACTAAACATGAGCAGTCTAAATTGGAATTAATGCACCCATACATTAAGGTGGATAACGTAAACTGAGGAAACATTGTGTCACATTTAGTTCTTAATCCTGTCAGATTAGAGCTTGTTGTCTGAGATGCCAAAGTGAGCCTGGAAATGACCGTGGAAAGGGAAGAAGGGAGGTAGATAATAGGTCATCAATAAGAATCATAAAGAAATCCAGTCCAGAGTACTTAAACTTTTAGCATTAGGATGTGCTTGACTGGTTAGAATTTTTTAAACACTTTAACCCATAAGTGTTGGGAGACGTTAAATCACTCTGTTAAATCAACACTTGTACTCATAGGTGCTTTATTAATTGCTGTGAACAAAATCAAGATGATTTTTAAAAAGATTTACAGTTTTGGTCATTTAATGTTAAATCGATCATTAGAGACTCCCTTTTAAGAGGCTCGTTCTTGTTGACTGTTTGCTGTTAGTCGCCTGCCAGCTGCTCCTCTAGCCGTCCTTTACCCAAAGAGTTAGATATTTCCAGAGACGATCCCGCTCCTCCAGCTCCTGTTCTCCAAATTTAGCGCACTTATTTGTAAATGTGGCTGGTAACCGTTCTAAATCAAAGCCTGGCGCACTCCCTCCACCTCCCCCCTCCTCCTGGGGTTGGTTGGTTTGTGGGGGGGGGGGGGGGTTGTTGGTTTATAGTTGGGGCCGCCTCCTGTCACTCGCTGCTGTCCTCTCAGCTGCCACCACCTGTCAGCGTCCTGTCGAGGCAGACGCTCTTCGACTGAGTCGATGACGCAGCTTGCCGAGGCCCAGGTGTCCTCTCTGCTGGAGGAGTTCCTTCCACTCATTCTAAGCACAATAGATTTTTATTTTCCTTTTTTATTTTTATTTTTTGAACACTCATTCCTTTACTCTCACTTGATTTAGGTCAGTTTTTTATACTTTTTTTTTGCGGGGTGGGACATTTGCTTCTGTTTCTTTTTTTGAATCACTTCTATGGTCTGTTTGTGTTAAACGTCAGATTTATACCAGTTCTGTGATCTAATCCTACAACTAGCTGATGTGTTACCATAAACCGGTGATCATAATAACAAAGTCGGATATAACTTGTGACTCTGTTTTTCATGAGTCACCATACAACTTTAGGCTGCAGCTGAAAACTGACAGCTCTAAAAGTGCAGTGACATCTGTGATGTACGTTACATTCAATTTATTTATTTTACTCTTATTTAACCAGGCAAGTCCCACTGAGATCTCAGATGTCTTTTTCAAGGGAGGCCTGGGCCTGAAGGCAACCTATTGTAGTTGATGTGAATTTGGTCATTAAATCACTTAACTAAAGCCTGAAAGACGTGTTGAGTTTGGGTGGGGGGGTGGTCAAACAAAATGTGTTTCTCTTAACTTTGCATTCAACACATTTTATTCTATTATTTGAAAGTGTTGTTTTGTTTTAGACAGCAGCCCATTAGTTGTAAATGCCTCACTAAAACTCATTTGCTTCCTCCCTTGTAGATTTAGAGCTAAACCGTGATTTTAATGGAGACGACTATGAATACGAAGATGAGGCCAAGATCGTCATTTTTCCAGACCACTTTGAGATTCCTTTACCAAATATCGAGGAGTTGCCCGCTCTGGTTAGTAACTCGGACCTSTGTGTTTTTATTTTGTGCATGATGAGGGAGAAAGCGGCACTTCAGTGGTTCTCTGGTCTCGCGTCAGGCAGATTGTTGACAGGTTTTCTCTGTGAACATTTAGTGTTTAGTTTGAGCAGGCAACTGATTAAAAAAAACTAAAAACACTAATGTATTTCATTGATTTTAATTTTGCTGTTTTGTTTGATTAAAAATACTTTTTCTGCAACACACATCATTTTGGGAACCCACAAGGTGCACATATTTTATTGTACACTCTTTATTTCTTTTGTGTGTGTTTTTTTTTGCTTTATTTTTTTACTCAGAGATCTTAACTAACCCTAAAACCTTCATTTGTGTGTTTTATGTTTAACACGTGGCTCAGGAGTTCATTTGTCTTTATGTATGTAAAATACATTTTGAATGTTAGGTTAGTGTAGACAGGTTAGTATGGACCTATTGCATGAAACAACTGTGCACTGCTCTTAATTCGTAGTGAATACGACAGATTCACTGTCGTTTTGTTTATTGCAAAGCAAAGTTGTTTAAAATCTAAGATAAATTGAAATATCAGCAAAAACGCACAAACTCAGTGCAGCAGAACAACTCATACCTATTCTGTCTTTATACATGTACAACAATGTGTGTAGTTGTGATCACATTGTGCACATTTTTGGCCCGAGTACAGCATTGACGCCAGTAACAATACAGTACATCCAAAGATAATTGTATTTTTATTTCATTCCACTTGTGACATATTTGACACACTAAATGAAACGATGGTATGTAAATGTGATGCTGCAACACTTGATAAATTGAAAAGGCGACATGATGAAAGCCTAAGTATTAGGTTTGTGTTTTTATAGTGTTTTATGTGGATGTTGTCCGGTTTGTTGTAAATTAAAAGGAGTTCTGGTTGATATCCCTGTTTTCCAACCTGTTTAAAGGACTAACAGCTTTCAGATTCTTTGGATATTAAAAATTGTCAATTAATGGTGAAAGATACTGTTTAATTCAGTGTCTGATGTGTAGTTTGGGACAGTTTTGAAATCTCATCCTCAGAACTAGACAATATCACAAGCTTTATTTTTTATTTGCAAATTTACTTTAAGTTTTTCACATTTTTCATTACTTTTAGTGTCTATTCATTTTGCCTCTGTTTCTTTTTAACAAAAGTGTCCTGATGCAGTACAGTTATACAGGTAGAAAAAAAAACCAAGTTGAATCTGGTCCTCTGGACGGGTTCTTTCTGTAGAAAACATTTAGTCTCATCTCAGAGACTTCTTCAGGCTCCATGATGCTGTAATTGGGAATGTGACTCAACCCTCTGTGAACAATGGGAATAATCAGAGCCCCAACGATCGTTGGGGTGATGGTCRTTTTTGTATGTCAACAAACAGATTTGATCGTCATTGTTAAACTTGTTTGTCCACCATGTGAAAGTACTGCTCCACAGACTGTCTCTTGGAGAATAGCCGAAATGTTTTTACCAAAGAGCAACCTGTCCGGAGGACCTATACTCAACATTTTTTAGATTTTTAGAAAAGTACATCAGTCACATAATGAAACACGACTGTTTAGTTGCACAAGTCTTGCAAGACAATGCCTTTCTGTATTAGTTTGTCTTGTATGAGTTTCCTCTTCCTGAAGCTGTTGACTTAAAATGTTTAACTAACAAATTGATTTCGGTGTGACACAACACCTCGTACGCTCTCTTAAATTCGGTTTTACTCACTGTCCAGGTGACCATCGCCTGTGACGCAGTACTCAACGCACCATCAGCTTACAARAAACAGGAGCCTGAGTCCTGGGAGGAGGAGATCCAGGTCTCCAGGCACGCCAGAAGCCTCAGACAGCTGGACAACGGGGTTCGAATTCCACCCAAGTAGGACTTTAAAAGTTTCAGGCTAAGTTTCTGTAATGTAACAAAGTGCTGAATTGTGGAGATTTAATCTTTTGTCATCTTCATATATGTTACTCTCATTGTAGTCTAGCTGCAGTTTTTTTTTACACAACAGTAATTCAGGTCTGTATGTGTGCTGCCAGTGGCTGGAAGTGTCAGAAATGTGAGATGAAAGAGAACCTGTGGCTGAACCTGACCGATGGGTCGGTGCTCTGTGGGAAGTGGTTCTTCGACGGGAGCGGAGGGAACGGCCATGCCCTGGAGCACTACAGAGAGACCAACWACCCCCTGGCTGTGAAACTGGACACCATCACCCCAGACGGAGCAGGTCTGACATACAAAACATGGCTACCTGAGCACGAGTCTGGAAACTGATTCATGCTCTTGTTTGTCATAATAAATACAAGCATATGTTGTTTACTTTGCAAAACGTTTAATAATGTTTTTCCTTCATAATGTGTAGGGGTACAGCATGTTGTTTTTCTGAAACACATTTACAACACTTCAGAAATGTTGAGTCATCACACATATTTATTTTTTATATAATTTGCTTCTGAGGAACCAGAATTTCTTCACTGAAAAAACAGCTGAAGTCAAAGAACTTACAAACCCATCAGAAAGCCCAGAAACTTTTAAAACAAGACCTCTTTTTTTCAAGAATGTCCGGTTCTTTGGAAGCAAGATTACAGATTAAAGCAGTACTGTAAAAAATGAAGAAATAAAGCAGTTTAATACAGTTTTTTTGGGCTTACACCTTTTGTTTTTTGCAAACTTTTTTGTCTATTAAAAGGTAGGTCACACAAAAAAGGAAAAAGAAAGGCTAAAAAAACAAATATTTTGCTGATGTAATTTTTCCTTGTTAATGACAAATGCTAAACTGCAGGTGTGACTTTAAGAACTGGATGAGTTATTGACTAAAAGTGGTTACAATGTTTAAGCATCAGTGCATCATTCGCTCATAAACGGTTTTGTTGTCACGAACTGGATTTTTGATTTTCAGATGTTTATTCATTTGAGGAGGAAGAAGCTGTGTTGGACCCTCACATATCAGAGCACTTGTCACACTTTGGAATAGACATGCTACAGATGCAGAAAAGAGTGAGTCATAGTTTGATCATTTCCTTTTGTATCGGCACAATCTAATCAGAAACAGCTGCGGTATTTAAGCTGGGGGCATTCACTTGTAACCGTTTTCTAGGATTTAGGTCTGCAGTCGCACGCTGCAAACAGAGCTCTTATTACTTCCTTTTGATTTCAGACAGAAAATGGGCACCACACAGACAATAACTCCCGGCCACGGGTCAGTGAATGGGAGGTGATCCAGGAGTCCGGTATGAAGCTGAAAGCAGTGTTTGGTTCTGGTTTCACGGGCATCAAGAATCTGGGCAACAACTGCTACCTGAGCACAGTACTCCAAGTCCTCTTCAGCATCCCRGACTTCCAGAGGATGTGAGTACTGGATGATGTACTTTAAATCCTTTTTTTTAAATTACTGATGTAAGATAGAATATTTAGGCTTAAGGCTTTTTCATGTTTTTTTTTAATTTAACGCTAGTCACAACTTGAATACTCAACAATACATGTAATATGTTAGAAAACCTATTTTTAAAATATCAATGGTAATTTTATTGCCTTTACCAACTTTTACTAACCAGAAGTTCAAAAAATATTGAAAATTCAATTGACTAGTTTTTAGTTTAAAGCCTTGACATTCTTTGTAACCATATGTTAAAGGGGTGGGGGGGTGCATATTATGCAAAATCAACTTTTTTGAGCTTTATATCACGTTTTAATGATATAAAGCTCATCAAAAACATACCCAGAGTTGTTTTGACTCATTCATGCATGTTTGAGAGATCCTTGAATCTCCTGTGGTAGCCATGTGGAGCTGCCTAAACGCTTGCTGGTACAAAGCACCGCCTATTTACACAAAGCTCCTCCCTTGAGCCCAGTCCCCAGCTGAGCTCCCGCCCCACAGAGCGCTCTTCTTTCTGGGTCTCCCCCACACAGCTCCACCAGACTAGCAGCAAGAGAAATATTTTCATATGTGTCATGCACCACAGCAGGTGCCCAGCCCACACAATAAACATATACATGCGAGCGGACAGGTGTAAACATTCTTTAAACCAAAAYGTGTCCTCTTCCTGAAGTGCCAGGCCTTTAAAATAAACTGTGCTAACTGAAACACAAAATATTAAATAAATGCTGCACTGTATATTCACCAATTAAATAAAAACAATCTGGATAAACATCAAGAACTTTATTAAATAATTAATTTCTCAGAATCCTATACAAAGGACAGTAAAACAAAAAGCACATTTCATTTTCAATTTCACTCAAATCACATAAAGAACATATACGATCCTCCTCTGAGACTGAACGAAAATGTCCAGTCTCCAAAGCCAAAGGCAAAGTGCCAGATCTACGGTAAATTGTGTACACACAGACATTTGTTGTTTAGATAATGTTGCATATGGCTCAGGACCATAAGCTTCCCTTTTTAGAATATAGGTTTGTAATTTTGGTTTACCTAGAATATCAACTGCCCATTTACACTTATAAATGTTTATTCTGTTCAATAATACCTCTTAACTTATGGTAGTCTATATACTGAAAATCCACCTTCTCAAATATCTTCTCAATTTTTCTGGCCAGATATACCTATTGGATAAATTCCAATAAAAAAATGCATTTTTTAAAATCTATGATCTGACATAATATTGAACCTGAAAAAATTTCTTAAAAATGGTGGATGTTCATGATTTCATAACAAGACATAGCTTCATAATAATATAGTTTYTTCACAAAAAGTAGCTTAACATTGACATTTATGTGAGAGGATGAGTGGGAGATATATTACCAAGCGGAAACGTTTTAKAAGAGCCTCTGKACTCGYTCTRATTCTTAACAAAACTTACTTTCCGGGTCCAAAAGGGATCGTTGGAGTAAGGTTCAACTGTATCCTGAGTTGACAATTTCCAAAACTGATATTTATATTTTTGCTTCCTTTTTTTT